CGGAGACGTAACAATATGTTAGAATATTTATTCAAAGTCCTTATCGGTTAGTATGCCTTCACTCTGATTAAAGGAGATTTGTTCGAATTGTTATTTTTTTTTATGTTGAAGCAAAAATGCATGTAGTTTGCTTATAGAAATGTCATTGAAGTGGTTTGAAGCACGTATCTAATTCCCGTCCTAACACTGTTGCTCCTACCCGGTGGTTCAACGATAAATCTGAGAGCTTATAACCTCTCGATCTTCGCGGTGGGCACAGCCCATTTTGTGTAGCTTTGTACTTAATTAAAAACAATTGCCCGGCATGGCCTGGTGGTTAGGGCGCTCGACTCGCAATCTGAGGGTCACGGGTTTGAATCCCCGTCCCACCAAACATGCTCGCCCTTTTAGCCGTGGGGGGCGTTATAATGTGACGGTCAATCCCACTATTCGTTGGTAAAAGAGTACAAGAGTTGGCGGTGGGTGTTGATGACTAGCTGACTTCCCTCTAGTCTTACACTGCTAATTTAGGGATGGCTAGCGCAGACAGCCCTCGTGTAGCTTTGCGCAAAATTCAAAACAAACAGTCAACCCGAGATATATCGCTCCGAATGTTTTAGATTTACAAAATTAAGAAAGTCGCCTTAAAGGATGGGGTAACTTTGGAAAGTAGCCTTAATAACCTAAATTTATGAATTTCGCGTGACAGTTCCTTGTTTTGAAGTACTTGAATTAGCTTTCTTTTCTTGAGTAGTATATTAAAATCTCACTTAGCCTGAATTTTCACAACAAACGAAGGGTCAAATATTCTGAGTTTTGGTGAAAAAAAAAAAAAAAGAGTTTAATTTTGTTAAGCCTACATATCGTGAATCTTCCCTGTTCAATAATATGAAAATAAAAATTTTCCAGAAATTTGTGAAAAATACAAAGTTTATAGTTATGGTTTAAAAAGTGGTATTTTAAAGTAGAATTTATTGTGAAATCTCTGATTCACTTCATTTTTTAGAAAAAAGTCTAGAATAACAGGTTACGACTTCAATCAGATATATATTATGTTGCTTAAAAATAAATTTATCTCATTATTGGAGTAGAAAGACGTCCTTTATGAACGCTTTTCGAAATGGTATTGCTTTCTTTAAAACTCGAAAAATTCAAGCATTGACTTGTATTGGAAATTCCGTCAATCTTCAGAAATATTATACTTCTCAAGATAAGAATCTTAACGTAAAAGTTTAAAAACGGGGAATCATGATTCAAAATTCTCGAGTACAATAGGTTGTTAAGGCTACTTTCGAAAGATAGTCCATCCTTAACTTTGTTTGTAATATGAATGGGAGAAATTTGCATTTTTATAGCATTCCAAGCGATATAATATTTGTTATTAAAGTCGCATTGCTTGATTCTTGAGTTTTCTGAGAAATAAAGAGAAACGGAGATAGTACAATCATTATTCATTTAATACATTCACTTTTTTGGGGTGATCGAAAAAAAAGTCATTTTTTATCAAACTACGAAGGCTATAGAGTAATTGCGAGATAACTGAACTTCCAAGTATTTTTTTAATTCTTTTCTCCATCTATTGAGAGATAACTGAACTTCCAAGTATTTTTTTTTAATTCTTTTCTCCATCTATTGAGAGATAACTGAACTTCCAAGTATTTTTTTTTAATTATTTTCTCCATCTATTGAGAGATAACTGAACTTCCAAGTATCTTTTCTCCATGTATTGAGAGATAACTAAACTTCCAAGTATTTTTTTAATTATTTTCTCCATCTATTGAGAGATAACTGAAC